CGGCTACGTGAGCCAATATGCGCTTTGGAATGCCGTCCAAGGTGGTCGTCGACCCGCACTGCGAGACGACTGCCCCGCGTGGTACCGGGACCTTGCGATCGCGTGCATGGCCGCTAAGCCAAATGCTCGCCCTACTGTGGCTGACATCATTCACACCTTGGAGCATCAGCTGCTCCAGCTTTAACTGTTTGAATAAACTACTAGTATGATTTACTACGAAATGTCGCGCAAGTTCTTCTACAAAGTGTCGATGATATTGTCGACACCACGGGGCGGGCGCTCGGAGCCGTCGCCATGCACTGAACCGCCAGCTCGCGGAATCATGAAGGGCAGTCGTCTTGGAGGACGGGACGCAAACCGGATCGGACTTGTTCTCAAAGCGCATGGGGGCTTTCGTAACCAACGTTTACGTATGGGACCTCGCTGGTGTTGGCATCGAACTCTGTGAGGAGGATGCCAAACGCATAGACGTCCGAGGCGTCGGATGGTACGGTGGCTCGGAGGCCCGTGAGCTCGGGCGCCATACACTGTGCGGTGCCGTTTAATTCGAGATTTCCGATCGGGCACATTGTGCTCACTGCTGCCAAGTCGGAGAGCTGGACACCGTCTTTTTCATCGAGGAGAATATAGGCAGACTTGCGGTTGCAGTAAACAACCTTCTGTGAGTGCAGGAAGGATAGGCCTTTGGCGACATCCAGAGCGAGTCGGGCGGCGATGTGCTCTTGCCGTCAAGGGCCCTTCTGCGCAAGCAAAAGCTCGTTTCTTTCGAGTTCCAAGCGCTGGCGCAAGTTCATGGTCATGGACTCTAGGGCCAACACGCGCTGATCGTTCGAGTTGATGTCGACGTGTCGAAGCTCCACAATATGCTCAGAGCGAAGGCTACCGTAGCAAGTACTAGTAAGCACCTCCGTTATTCCATTTCTATGCTATACAAAGAGAGTCGTCAGATTTCGGTCCAAATCGACCGGTCGCTGAACTGATACACTTGGCCAGAGACACCAACGCCGAAACTGTCGTCGTAGTGCACGTCCAAGACGTTGCGAGTCTCGAGCGCCACCTCAATGTCGGTGCAGTCACGCCGGAGTGCAATCATGAGCGGTGCGTTGTTCTAATGGCCGTCATTCCACGTTGTACAAGTCCATCAAGAGGTGCACAAAGCTCCTTGACGGCGCCATTTCCAAGCAAAAGCTCGACGATGGCGAGGGCATGCAGCCGTACAACAACCATTGGCGGCGTCTCGTTGCCCTATGCAGTCCGTCAACAGACCACTCACATACCCAAAAGGTATACTATGGTGGTGGTCTGGTTGACGTGGATGCGGCGTTGGCGCAGGAGCAGCTCGACCGTGGCCACACTGCGCCGCTGCACGGCTTTGAACATTCGCCCATCTATATTCGTTCGTCAGATTTGTTTGTCGATTGTGGAGGCGACCTTGTTTGTCGTCGTCGGATCGACACCTTTACACCTTTCTCTTCAACATGATCGAGCACTCCAAACAATCTCGTTCGACATTCTGTACAATCGCCCTGAAATGCTTTAGAAACGTAGAATATCCTGAAATCATGGTATAAAGTCCTCTTACTTATTGCTTCGTCGCCAAGCAGATACCGTTGATGTGGCGATTTCATCGTGGCCACGCATTTGATACATCATCAACAGGCGCTTCAATGTGTGAATTGCCATTTCCCACGCCGTTTGCAGCTTGCACACATGGGTGTTCACGTAAAAACCACCGTGTCCTTGAATTTCACCCTGCATTACCCACGCGTGTATCCATGGCCGGGCGACGATTGGCTAATTTGCTAACCGACGTCTAGGATTGGCTGCATTTTTATTCGACATCGCTCTTTTTTTATCGTCAACGGCATCCACATACAAATAGCAAGGTAATTAAAAAAACAAATGTGTAATATAATAGAGTAGTTTCGCAGGGTGGTGGGCACCGCACTGCTGTCGCATTTCCGACATGCGCCTCATTCCGCAATTCGCCAAGTCCATCCTCATGTCCGGAGTCGAAGATGCCAAGCGCCTGGTAAGACGACATTGGCTCTATGCACATGCGCTTACCCTTATGCTCTCTGCAGGCCGCCCGCGCCGCCGTCGATGAGTTCGTCAAGTCGGGCGATGTCGTTGGCATTGGCAGCGGTACGTCGTCGACCATCCTGCCATGATGGGAGGCTCATGCTGGCATGTAGGCTCGACGGTTGTCTACGCTGCCGAGCGCCTTGGCGAGCGCATCAAGGAAGAAGGCCTCCAGATCTCGTGCATCCCGTCGTCGTTCCAAGCGTCGCAGGTATGCGCGCTGCCACCTCCGCAACGGTCGAAGCATCTCGCATGGTGTTGTAGCTCATTGCGCAGCATGGCCTCAACTTGACCAACTTTGACTCGCATCCGGTCATTGACATTGCGATTGACGGCGCCGACGAGGTCGACACGCAGCTCAACTGCATCAAGGGCGGTGGCGGCTGCCATCTCCAGGAGAAGATTGTCATCTTCAACGCCAAGAAGTTTGTCATTGTCGCCGACTACCGCAAGGAGTCGACGTTCCTTGGCGAGCAGTGGATCCAGGGCATCCCCGTCGAGGTCGTGCCCCTCGCGTACGTTCCGCTTACGCACAAGCTCAAGGAGCTCGGCGGGTCGCCCGTTCTGCGCATGGCCAAGGCCAAGGCCGGCCCCGTCATCACAGACAACGGCAACTTCATCCTCGACACCCACGTACTCAAATCCCAAAGTGTTATGCAAGGGTACTCATGCTTCGTCTGTAGTTTGGCATTGTCCAGGACCCCGCGACGCTCAACCAGACGCTCAAGCTGCTCCCGGGTGTCGTGGAAGTCGGTCTCTTCTGCCACATGGCGTCCAAAGCCTTCTTTGGCCAAGCCGACGGCTCGGTCAAGACGGCCGTGCCGCAGTAATCGTCCTCGTCACTGCTAGAACCTTTTTGCATATTCATCATTCCTCTTTCTCGTCACCTTGCGCATCCTTCTGCTTCTTCTGCGCCCACGACGGTAGCCACCAGACCACAACTGCAGTCGCTACCTAGTCGCCTATCACTTCTATCAAAAGGCTCAAGGATACCCTTGTACCAGCAGCAACACAATGATGTGATCCACTTCGCACCCACCGCTCTGTTGGTGGTCTGCTGTTGATGAACGGCATGCACGACTACCTCAGTGCTGTGCGGAGCTACTACATGTACCATGCTTCATCTGCATTAGTGCAAGGGTTGCATACACCTAACCGGAAAGGTCATATTTGTCTTGTTGAGGAGATTAGGGTTATAAAATCGGATAGTGTAATACGATGGCAAGTCGTGAAGCGACCTGGAGACGAATGCGAGCGGACCCACATCGCTTAGGTGCGCGAGAGATAGCAGAGCACGGCCGTCATGTTGTCGGCTTGGTCGCCAAAGATGGTGTGGGCTTTGGCCAGGTTCTCTTGGAGGAGGCGGCGGGCGCGGGCCTTGGCGTCAACCTCGGGCGACGCGTCGCTCTCGTTCTTGGTCGACAGCACAAACTGCGCGAGCTCGTCGTACTGCCACACGTCCCAGACGCCGTCAGTCGCCAAGACGATCGCCAACTCACTGCTGCTCGTCGGGTCGTCAAAGAGCGAGATGTCGAGCACATCGGGCTGCCACGAGAGGCCGTGCGCGTGCAAGTGAAAGTCACCGAGCGACCGTGTGAACGCGAGGCAGTCGGCGAACGCAGCATCGATCGGAGCCGCGACCATCGACGCCCATTCGTTGCGCACGTTCTTGTAGTAGCGGCCGCCAGCGCTCTGGACTACGTCGCCGGCGCTGTTTTTGGTAAAGATGGGCACGCGCACGAGCCGATTCGCGACGCACGGCGCGTCATAGAGGAACTGCAGGCCCTGGACGTCGCTTGTGGCGACGCGGTCAAACTCGATGCGCGACTCGGCCGAGTGGTCGCCCGAGATGAGATGGTGCATCGTGTGATCGCTGCAGTTGTTGTTCTCGCTTTCGCAAGGATTCCCGTCAGACGATGAAGACGGCGCGTGCGGGCAGTAGATGGGCGCGTCCGAGAGGGCATGGAGCGGCGTGATACGCACGCTGTTTGCGCCGGCAAGGAGCGCGGACGAGTCGCCGACGTTGGCCACGAGCAGTCGCGTGCCATGCAGCAAAATGGCCAGCGTCGCAGTCGTCCCGCCCTGTACGCATGTGTATGGCTGCGACGGGCCTTTTCGCTTGAGGAGAAACGATCGACCGTTGAGACTGTCGTCGCGCATGCAGAGCCCGAGCGACGCGTAGTGCGCTTGGAATGCGCGGTAGATATGGGCGTGGCATTGGCCAAAGAGCGAGCGCAGCTCGGCTTCGGGCTGCGCCTCGATCGCGGCAAGCGATTCCGGCAACTCGAAGTGTGACATGAAGAACGCTTTCGCGGCCTCGGCTGCAATATGGCCCGTCTCCTTGCCATGCCCGTCAAAGACGCCGAGGACGACGCTGCCGCCGCCGACGTCCAGCGCCATGTACGTGTCCTGGTTCACAGCGCAGCGCGCGGAGCCAATGTCGGTGGTTCCGCTCGCGGCGATAACGATCCGCGCGCCCTTGGCCTCGGCCGACGTCTGCACGCTGCTGCCCAGGCGGCGGAACACCGCCTGCTTCTCAAACCCCTCGGCCATGACGTCTGGACAAATTCGATTGTGAAAGGTCGCCCGCCGGTATTCGCGTGCTCATTGGTTGAAAAGATACCGTTTCCACCAATCACAGACGCACGTTACCTCGCTCAAGCTTCGATCGGCGGCCGCTATCGGCGCTAATCTTGGCCACGCCAATCGCTGCACCAACACCGCGCCGGGCGTGAGAACGCGCCGAGCGCACGCTGGTCGTTCCGCTTGCGCCTTCATCCTGCGACATGCGGCGAGAAATAGCTTGCAGCAAGATACTATTTTGCTGAATTTGATCGCCGGCCATGACTGCAGGCCAAGTCCGAGTCGCTGCGTCCTGAAGCGGACGTCTTGCTCGTAGAGGCGGTAGGACATGCTATGCTAGGGTGCTGTCGGGTCGTTGGCATCGCAGCGCGCGTGGCGTGGGGTGCGTACTTCAAGCTGCAGTAGGTGGCACCTGGCCTTTCTGGCCACGCGTAGATGTACCTGGGTAGCCATACCGGTGGATGCCAAGCATGGCCATGCAACACAAAGGTGTCGGTCGCGACGAAGCCAGCGTGCGTGCTGCCTGATGCAATGGCAAAAGATACGATGTTGAGACCGTTTTGGAATACGCATCTGGATCGCGAGCACGAACCGACGCATGCACCGCGTGAGCGACCAGCTGAGCGACCGGCTGCCGTACCGCAGCGGGTTCCGCGAGGAGAAGGACCCGCACGAGATCTCGCGCGCATACGGCAGCGGCGATGTTGCGCGCTACTGCTGGCTCTTGTCGCCGGACGAGCCGCTCGACGACGCAGCGCGCATCGATGCCATGCGCCAGCTCGCCGAGCTGCTCTCGTCGCCTGAGAACAAGGTCAAGGCCATCGCGGCAGGCGTCGTGCCGTCCTGTGGCCGCCTCCTCACACTGCCGAATCCGCGCGTCAAGGCGCACGCCGCCAACGTCGTTGCAGGTTCAATCCTCGCTCGCATAGCTTTCCTACCGGCACAACATCCACATTGTGCATAGCACTCGCTTGGGACTTTGAAGGAGCCACAGCGCTGCACGCCGACCCGACATTGCTCTTCAACTTGAACCATCTCTTGAGCGAAGACGACGAGCCGTGCGTCGAGGCGGCGCTGGACGCGATTGTCAACCTCACGAGCGCAAAAGAAGGCATTGGCAGCGTGCTCGGGCGCGCGTACATGCCCGAGAAACTCGTGGCCATGGCGTCCGACGAGAGCACGCCGCTGTCGCCGCGCGCCACCGACCTCCTCTTCCATGCGTTTGCCAACTTGACCAAGGCTGCCCACGGCGCCGAGGTGTGTACGACGTACCACATCGTGCCAGCGCTGCTGCGCGTCGTCAAGAAGCCGCTGCACTACGCGCTGCCCGTGCTCCGCAGCGCCATTTTGACGCTCTGGAATCTCGCCACTCACGTACGCGTCGCCTTTCTTTGACGGCACTTGACCGGGTTGGGGTTAGAACTATGGCAAAATCGAAGCGATAGGCTCGAACGCGGTCGAGCTCTGCACCAAAGTGCTAATCGCGCTCCAGGCCGGCGCGATCCCGTGCAAGGACAAGCCCGACCTCCAGCGCTGCTTGGCGGGGACGCTCATGGCGCTTGCGACCGCCGAGGAGGCCAAGCCCAAGCTGCTCGCCGTGGCCGTCGCGCCGCTCGTGGCCTGCTTGAGCGAGCCTGCCGCCGCCGCGAACGCAGCCCAGGCACTCAACTACATGGCCGAGGCACCGGACGGGCTGCTGCCGAGCGTGACGCTCTTGCTCGATGACTCGGAGACGCTGCTGCGCGTCTTTGCGCTGCGTGCGATCCCCGCGCTCACGACGCTGCTCGCCCAGCAAATGCGCCCGGGCCTCGTCCTCGCCGCATTCCAGCGCCTCCAGCTGCTTGAAGTAGCCCTTTGTCTGGACTCTCAGATCTCATTGTCGTGCCTTTCTTAGGACAGCATCAGCGCGATGACGCAGTCGTTGCACCTCTACGAACACCTCGCACGTCTCTGCATGCCGAACGACGACGCGCCCGATCTCAGCATCCTTGCGACACGCGTGCTCCACGTCGCCGCCCAAGTAAGACAAGTTGTCTGATGTGATTACGACATGTGCGTAGCACGGACCACGGACCGCAACCCGCATCGAGCGTGCGTTTGCGACCTGCGGCATTGACGACCCGTCACTCCTCGCAGCGGTGCTCGAGCACGTGTCGATGTAGATTCAAATCTTCTTCTATAAGAGTCTATTGGCCTCTACAAGCAATGCGGGCAGACGTAGCGCCGCGATGGATCGCGAAACGTCAGTGGCAAGTACAAGCAGCTACATCCCCAGCATCAAACGAGAGAGCAAGTCGACAAGAACGTACGCGAGATGGTACTTGTGGTGGCACGTCCGGCACTCGACGATCGCGTCGTCGCGGAGCGCTTGCTTGCACTCAAAGCAGCCGCTCGCCGCGTCAAAGCGCGTCTTGAGCGGCGTCGACTCCTTCTCCGCTACACAACACACCGCCATCGCAACCGACATGAACTGCACGTCGACGTACGCAAGGGACAGGAGAGGAGGTCGCGCGGCTCGGGCACCGGGGCGCGGGCCAAAACGCTGGCGACGGCGCGCTGTTCCTTCTCGAGCGTCGCAACAAAAGTGCCAAGGGCCGCCAGTGGCGCCAAGTACGCTTCGTCGTCCAAGCCGAGCCTAGCATACGGCGATATCCTCTTGTATCGACTATCGCAGGAGGACGTACGCTGCGATCCGGGCCGCGGTTTTCTCCATGACGGCAATGTGCGCTTGCAAATACGGCTCGGACCGATACCGCCACAGTGTTTGAAATGCAGTCGCCAAAAAGTCAACGCAGAGAGCTGTGTGGTAGTCGTCGAGCGCTCCCGCCATACGGTCGACGAGGGCGCGGTGCACAGCAGCCCCCAAGTCGTGGTGAGCGTACAGCGCCTTGGGCAGAGCGACGCTCGGGGCGCGCGAGTCGCCGGCATCGAGGCGTGCGTCAAACGACAAGAAGATGGCGCGAAGCACATGCCGGAGGAGCGACCCGGCGAGCGACCCCAACTTGTGTAACAGCGTCTCGGGCTGCGCTGTGATGGTTGCAAAGTACGTGGTGGCCGCACGGACAAGCCGCGGTGCGCCACGTGTCCACGCATGCTGTAGCAGCGTCGAGGCCATCGTTATTGGTGCCGACGCCACCGACGCCACGTGCGCCAAGACCGTGCGCAGGAGCGATTGCTGGGTCAACGTCAAGGCTTGCAGTTGGTCGTACAGCGCCGCGTAGTGAGCCAAAAGCACCGGTACCGTGCGCATAGCGCCTACGTCCCAAACCATACGACTGATACTTTGATACAAAGCAGCGAGGTACCGTGAGTATCAGCTACGTCGTAGCGCAGGTCGATCGTCGACTGGTCAAAGGCAGCAAACGCGAGGCGTGAAGTACTGGGTTCGGAGGTCGCAACGACGTCTTCGCAGAGCATCCACGACGTAAAGACTGCATGGAGCGCCGTCGAGACGGTCTTCGGAAGCACTTTGGCCGCGTACATCTCTTGAATGGACGCCCAGCTCAAGGCCACGACCGTCGACGACGTCGTGGGCGGTGATTTCGCGAGCGCGGTGTCCATGTGAGCTTGGACAAGAGCCGTGTGTGCGCGCGAGCGGAGGACCTTTGTCCCGGGCGTCCGACGCAAGTGGGATGGCCGCTCTAGTGTCAGCGCTTCGATATCGGGTGGTGCGTCGCCCGAGGCCGCCTGTAGCCGGGCGCTGCGGCGGGTTTGAAGTGGCGCGAGGAGCTCGCGTTTGGCGGGCTTGCACGACGACCGAGAGCCAAGATCAACGGTAGGAACCACGCTGGGCGGCAGCGGCGGTGTCGGAGGCAATAGGCTCGAGGCCGCCGAAGGCTCGAGTCGACGCGGCTCGTCAAAGACATTGGGTGAAAAAGGCGGCGGGCCCGCGTTGACATCCGTTGGCGCCGAGTGCAGTCGAAGGTACGAGAGCGGCGACAGGATTTGGCCGCGGGACGGTGGAGCGCACTTCTTTGGTGTCTCGAATGCTGTGTCTTGTGTCGCCGGCGCTACCGCGGTGCGCAAAACTTCCAACCGCGGCGGCGTCGTTGGCCGTGGCGGTGTCTCGGGGCGGCGTGGCGTCTCTGACCGGAATGGCGTGTGAGGCACAGGTGGCGTCTCTGGTCGTGGCGGCGTCCAGCCTGCGTCCGTGGCGAGCATGTCGTTCGTATCATTGTCGTTAGCTGCGGTCTCGACGTGCGTTCTCGCCGCTTTGCGTGGTGGCGTGTCAAACACGAGCTTTTGTTGGACGGGCACGTTGTCGTCGTCGGGCGGCGGCATCGCGAGCAGTAGCTTTCGCTTCTTGGCCGACGATGGGTGCACGGGCAGCACCCGCTTCTTTGATGGCGCGACGACGCCGTCGGTGAGCTTGGTGCGCGACGGCTGCCGGGCGACCATCTTGGACGGTACTCGTTGGCGGCGCGCCGGCGCTGGGTTCTGCGGCGGGCTACGCCTCGCGACCGTCGGTGCCGTCGGTGCACGGCGCTTGAGCTTGAGCGGCGTCGCCTGGAAGTGCGAGAAGACGCCGTCCACGTCCACCATGCCCCGGATCTTCTCCAGTTGGCTGCCGAATGTGCCAATCGCTCGGCTGGTCGCTCTTATCCGTATAATGTCCGGATAATATCGGGGCTTCAAAGTCAAAGTGGCGCCTTTCTTGAAGCACCAAGTCGCCCGACCCATACCCCACTCAGCCAGCCACGCAAGTCGCCCGTCTAGAGACACACCAACGACACGCACAAGAAACGATGCGAAGCCAGAGGGCTACGCACTGTACGAGTACGTACTCGGAGGGCTACCGACATTTCCGCTCGAGCCGTAAAATGCTGGTCATCAGCTTTAGACACGTGGCAGCGGCAGAGGCGCTGCCATCAGGCACGAGTAACACGCCGCCCTTCTTGGTGGCCAACACGCGAGACCCACATGTCTGACTTTTATTAAGCCAATTAGCCCTGTGCATTTAGGTGCTGCGAAATACCTTGATCTCACAGTTCTCACCAACGTTAGTACTACCGTTACCAGTTGCACAATCGTCCTTCAGTCGCTCGTCGAGTCCTGTCATGCTGCAGCGACGTCCTCCGTTGGCAAGCCAGCTTCGTTATGGACCATTCCTACAACGCACGCCCAACGACCAAGAACCAAATGCTAGCCACCGCCCATGCCGACAAGGGTGAGCAAAGTGGGGTTGCGTCTGTTTGTCAACACAATAAATGATGGCGAAGTGAAAGCGAGGAAGCGCTTTTGGGAGCTTAGGCGCGCTGTACGTCGAGCACGTTCTCTGCCATCAAGCGCAGGAGCACACCGCGCACTGCGTCGCTGTCGGCGACCTGCGCGAGGTCGGCTTGCGTCGAGAAGCCGGGCGACGTCTTGTACAGGTGCATGAGCACGGGGAAGCAGTCGATCGGAAACGCAATGCCCGTGTTGACCATGTCACCTGGCGCCATCTCGTCCATCATGTCATCGTCTTCGTCGCTGCCGCTTGCATTGTCGTCATGACCGTCATGACTGTCCTGCCCGTCATTCTCGTCATTCTCGTCATTCTCGTCATTCGCGTCGTCGTCTTCGTCCTCGTCACCGCACGAGCACACGCCCATGTGGTGGACGCGGCAGTTGTGCAGCGAGTGGTGCAGCGTCACAACGTCCATACCGTCCATCTCGGACACGACGAGGCGCATGTAGGCCTTGTGCGGGAGGCGCACCTTGGCCTTCGGGTCGAGCGCCGAGATGGTCGGCGGCGCTGGCTCGGTGATCGGCCACGGCGGAAGGCGGTTCTGCACAAAGTCCAGCGCGGCTTCGTCGGCGGCTTCTTGCATGTCGGTCATCTCAACGTGCTGGAGCAGTTGCGACTAGAGCGAGGATCGAACCGCGTCCCAAAAAATTGCAGAAAATACAAAAAATACACAAAAATACCACGAGGTTCTTGCACTTGGACATGAACTGCGTCGCCGCCTTGGTCTCGCCGTCAAACTGCGTGCCCATGAACGAGAGCCAATTCGCGGGGAGGCCGCGGCGAAACTCAATGTCGTGCTCGAACGCGCGGCGAACAATGCGGGGCAGCGCGACCTCCATAAAGTTGGCCCACGAATTGTGGTGGTAGATCGAGATGGTCACGTGCGTCGAGAACGTGCTGCCCGTGCACCTACCGTTGCGCCATATGAGAGGACGGGCGAGGTTGATCATGTACGTACGCTTGGTGGATGACGCCGCGCGGGAAGTAGAGCAAGTCGCCTTCGTTGAGCGTGAGCTCCATCGTCGGCTCGCCAATCATATCTTGCGTAAAGTCGCCGCTGTGCTCGCCAGCAAGCGGCACGAGCGGCGCGTACAGCTTCCAGTTCTTACTGCCTTGGGTCTGGAACACAAACACGTCGACGTCGTCGTGGTGCGGCGCGAGCTATTCGTTAAACTGAGTACGATGGATCTGTCAGGAATAAGCATACGGCTTGGGCGTTGGGCGGCGTGAGGTACGCGCTAGCGCCGGCGAGGCAGCCAAACGTTTGCTCGAGCGATGCGTTGACAGCACAGAGCTCGTCGTTGTAGCGCTGCGGCTGGTAAAACTGGACGCTGTATCCTTGCTTCATGAGCTTTTCGACTTGCTTGGACGTCGCAATCGTGTCGTTCGGGTCCTCGGGCATGTAGTTGTCGCGCTGGTTGTCCTACGTCAAGAATGCTAACATCAATGGCGTCGCGAATCGGTGCCGCGTGTACCTTGTAGTGCGTCACGGTGAGGTCGCTGCCGTACTCGAGCGGGTCGCGCGAGAGCACTTCGAGCAGCTTTTGGCGGCTAAAGAGGCCGGCGCACGGTGACACGTTCTTGCGCAGCAGCGGCTTCTTCTCAAAGTACTCAGCTTGGAACGCGCCGAGGGACATGCCAAGGATGGCCTCGAGGCGGCCTTGCGGCGTGTTGGACTCGACCTTCTTGGGTGCCTTCGCCTTGGGCTTGGCCTCGGCCTGCTTGTTGCCGTCATTCGCCTTGCGCTTCGTCTCGGCCTGCTTGTTGCCGTCACTCGCCTTGCGCTTGGACCCGCGGTGCTTGTTGCTCGGCCGTGTCATCGTTGTGATTGTATCCAGTTGTTGCCAGCGACGAGGCCATTGGACGAAATGGTAGCCAATGAGATCCCGCGCTACCTTTCCACCAATCAGCGTGTTGAACGCTTTTTTGCCACCAACTACTCGACAACTATATTCAAGTAGATAGAAGATTTCGTAGAAGTTGTACATAATTGTCATGTGGTTTATGATGTGGTTTTCGTCTCGTCGACTGCATGCTCGCGCAACGCTGCTGCTGGTGACGGCTCGGTCGCAGCGCGCGTGGCGTCGTCCTTGGGTGCCGGCTCGCTGGAGGCTTTTGAAGGTGCGGGGTCAGCCGCGCGGCTTTCGTTTGCAGGCTTGGCACTGCTTGCCTTGTCGTCGCCTTCTGCCTTGGGCTTGTCTGCTTGCATGGGAGGAGTCGCCACTGCTTTTGCCTCTGCACTCTCCTTCTTCCCATCCCCAACGCTCGGTGGCATCGGCAACGGTTTGATGTCCGTCCACGGGTCGTGACCCATGAGCTGCTGGTGCGGGGCGAGGTCGTAGGCAGGCAGCCGTTCGTCGTCATCTCCCGTTTCAACAGGCGTCTCGGACGAGACAACCTTGTCAAGGATGACCTCGCGGCCCGCCCAGGTCCAGAACTGCCGCTCCACGACGACCCGGTCGGTAGACGGCACGTACAAGCACGAGTGCTCGGCGTCTGCCATAAAGGTCGTGCCCATGCACTTCCATTTGCCTACGCTTCGTCGCATGTCGCCATCACGGGCTACGGCATGTACCTCGATCCGGCGGCCGCGACGCCTTCATTTCGCGGCGCTCTTGCAAGTACCCGACGTACTCGTCTTCGTGAAACGCAGCAATGCCCGAGATGTTCTTGGTCTACGAAGCCATGAGGATGTTGCGCAACCGCGATCATGTAGGTACGCTGGCGCGAGGGATTGCATGGTCGTCCCGGCGGTGCTCGTGTGGGCGAGAGGCATGGAAATCTCCCCGCACCGACTTAGTACGTGGCGAAGACCTCTTTTCGTGCTCCATGGCGGCTCGGTAGTGGCGCTCGTCGGCGTAGCCCTAGCAGCCAAGGCCCATGAGCAGCCCAGACGCTTGGCTGCCGAACCGGGTCACGGGCCGAGACGCGTGGGCGGTCGTGGTCTCGCCGGGGCTCATCGCGGTAGGTACCTCGGTGCTGCGCCTATGAGGCAAGCTCCATACGATGGCGCAACGTACCCCGCGGGCCGAGTCGAGTCGGTCCTCGTACTCGCGGCGTCGCTCCTGGCTCCACGCCAGCATCCAAGATCGTATCAATTGGTATCCGGTCATTCCTATCGTATCCGGAAGAATCCGGGCGTCGCTTCGTGGCGCACGAGGCGAGACGTGTGAAAATAGCTGTGAAAATCTACCCGCATACATTCATCAAGCTATTATTTTTACACGTTGCATGTGAAAAGCATGGGTGCGTGATAAATGAGTGTGTGCCCGTGTGCCCAGTCTAAGATCTGAGTCGCGACCGCTTCTCGTTGTCGCTTCCACCGCTTCATGCTGGACCACGGTCGTTGCTTGACGCAAACTGTGCATCTGCTTACTGCCTGCTTCGCATGAGCATATTATCGGGTGCAACCGGCTCGGACTCAGCTGCTTGGTCTCACCGGCGTCGACTCCAACCTCGGCTTGAAGTCAAACAACGCGCGTAAAAAACACCGTTCTCGCGCCGTCGCTGGCTTCCGACCATCTGTCTGTCGCACTCTCGCCGCGTAATCCTGCAAAGACACGACGGGCTCTGGTCGATCGACCGTAAATGGCTCGCATCCCAGAGCCTTCAATCCCTATCCTTGGGCATCATTGCAGTGGGATCGGTGCGTTAGTTAGTTAGTCGATGGGTTGCAGGGCGCGGCGTGGAGCGAGCGTTATTAATAGCAGACCAATCACAGGCCGGTATGCAACTGCATACAAACATCAAGTACAGGGCATGGGTCCTTCGCGGCCTGTAATATTCGGGTTGTTCCGAGCTCGTGCAATACTATTCGGGTCGTATACAAATGTCGTATTGGAATAAAACGGTGGGATAAAAACACGTTTTTTATTACTGTACAGGCCATTTGTATGCAACATTAAATCTGGGCTTTTAATGACGGTAGGGAGGAGGGGGGAGGTCCCCCGGCGTAACTCTGTTCCGGGGACTGGCAATTGGTAGGAAGATGAGTGCCAAGGACGAGGACGGCCCGAGCCAGGACGCGCCCGCGCTGCCACTGCCCGCCATGCACTCGCTCGAGGCCCTCGTCGCCGCGCTGGATGTGCATGGCATGATGCTCTCGCCGGCGCAGCGAGCTGCGCGGACCAAGTGCGTCGTCGACCACGATGGCGAGTTCGTCAAGGAGCTCGTCCGCGTCGCCGACCAGTGCAAGGACATGGACGACGATGAGAGTCTCGAAATGCTCTTTCACATCGTCAAGCTACTGCGTAGGCCACGCTTTGCGTCGGCCATCGCCGGCTAACCTCCATCTCTGTCTAGTCGAGCTCTGCGACGCGCCGATCTTGCAGCTCTTGCTCTCGGACGCGTACTTCCTCGATGTTGTGGGTATCCTCGAACACAACCCAAACGTGCTCTCAAAGCTTCCGTTTCGCGCCGACCTCGAAGGCCACATGAGCTTCCAGCAGGTAGCTACTGCCTCGACGATGCCATCTTCCTTACACATGTGCGTAGGTGATTCCGATCCAAGAAGAGTCGGTGCTTGCCGCCATCCACATGAACTTCCGCATGGACGCGATCAAGGACAACATCCTCTCACGGACGCTCGCGGATGGCTGCGCCATGTGGATGGAATGCCTCATGAACGAAAACAACATTTGCATCCTCACGTACATTAGCAACCACCCCGAGTACATTTCGGCGCTGTGGGCGCTCGTGGCCGATCCCGCGACGCAAGCGACTGCGATCCGGCTGCTCCAGCACCTCATGCGGCTCATCCAAATCACACAGCCGCCGGCACGCAACGCCGGCCTCGCGCATCGCCTGCCGCAAATGTTCAAGGCCGACACGACCGGTGTCAACCCCGTGTTTGGCTCGCTCCACCACGCGCTCTTTGCTACGTCGCCGAACGGCCAGAGCCTTCTGCAGAGCTTTGCCCGCGTGCTCGGCGTCCCGGACGCCGCATCGCTCGAGACGCGCACGATTGTGCTCGAGCTCGTGCACAGCCTCGTGGTCTTCCAGGGCGGCGACATTGTCCGGTCGTACATGGCCGACGAACGCAATGCGCGCGACGTCGGTCTCTCGTCAGCGAGCTGTTATTTGCAGTGGGAAGCCGGCGACTCGCTCCTCTTTGGCCTCTTGTTGACGCTCTACGTACACGAAGCGCATCGCGGCCAAGTGCTCGACATTCTCAAGCTGCTCTTCAACGTCATTCCGGGCAAGGACGACAAGTTCCTTGGCATGGTGTACACGGGCTACATCCCGTGGCTCTTCCACCTTCTGACGCTGCCGGAGAACTCGCCCGCGAGTCTCTACGGCCTCCACGCGACCGTCGTCGAGATCCTCACGCTCTGCATTGCCAACCACGGGTACCGCGTCAAGTACGTCTTTGCGCGGCAGCCGGTCGCGACCTTCCTCTCGGCGATGCTCCATTCGGCCGACAAGTTTGCCCAGATCAAGGCCGCCAAGTGTCTCAAAGCTTGCGTTGGCATGAACGAAGCTTTCTACTCCAAGTTTGTGCTCTCTGGTACGCTGCTCGAAGACGTGTTTGACTTGCTCCGACACGCCGAGAAGACCAAGGCCGGCAAAGTCCACTGTAACGCGGTGGTCTCGGCGCTGCTCGACATTCTGGGCACGGCCGAGGCCAAGCACTGCGTCTCGATCCTCGAACACGTGCACGCGACGTACGCCAAGGAGTTTACGCCGTTGTTTCCCGGTCTCTTTGGCGCGATCCAGCGGCAAGTGTCGCACGAAGACGACGGCAGCAGCACCGAAGAGATGGCCGCGGTCTCGGTGGCGTCCACCACGGGCGGCCGCACGATGATGCTGACGGACGAGGACGAAGCGTACTGGGAAAAGGAAGACAACGACGACAGCAACAACGCCAACAATGCTGGCATCGTGGGCCCTATGCCGGCACTCGACGAGTCGTATGAGCCGGGCTCGCCCGACAAGCCCGAGGACGGACCGCCGCCGTTGGTGCCGCTCGCCGACCGCGAAGCTTCGGGGTTTGTCATCGCGGCGTCGCCGCAGCGCAAGAGCAAGCCGATGGCGATGTTTGCAAAGTTGCCGTGGAAACGGAAGAACAGTGACGACGGCGACGCGACGAGCTTTGATTATAAAAAGCAAAAGGCAGAATTGCTCGGCTAAAACAAGACTAGGGACGGAGTTTCAGAGGATACTCGCGTAGGCAATCATATATTATACCACTACAAAAGACGTCTTGTGTAATACAGGAATGCAAGAAACAAGATTGTACAATGTTGTCAGTTGTGTCTTGAGCACTTTTTCAAGGAAAGGGTGCAGGTAGCGTATCTTTCAATTGGCATCCGGACAACTTGGGGCGTCGTTTGATTGGGTAATTACGAATCTTGAACGGTCGTCAACCGCGCCGATGGAGCCGACATCGCTCGACGCGCCGACGACGGACGCTGCCATGCCACCGCCTTCCGCCAGCGACGACAATGCACCAAACGAGGCCTCTGAAGAAGTAGTGGAGAACATTCCCGTCGTTGCACCACCACGCACGCCTTTGGAGCAGTTGGTAGATGTAATGGTGGCGGCCGAGCGATCATGGACCGCCAAGCTGGACGAGTACGCGCGGCGCATCACCACGCTGCGCACCAACGCCGTGTCCATCAAGCAGTCGCATCATGCGTCGACACTGGCTTTCCAGAAGCAGCTGCACGAGGCGCAGCTCAAGAACAAGTCGCTCTTGGCCAAGTGGGCCAAAGAAAAGGAAGTGCGGTCGGCCGAGAAGGAGTGGATCGCGGATGCATGGCCGTCCCATGTGGTGTTACCGCCCACGGTGCTGCGTCCGTTCATGAAGGATCTGCCGGCAACGCCCGCCGAAGTGAACGCTCGAGCAGCAGCCGCCCACATGCAGCTCGCGCTCCAGACGGAGGCCAACGAGATCGTATCGCGCATGGCCCAAGCCAAGCAATGGTCGCTCGTCGATGGCAGCTACTTTTACAACGCCATCACGGGCGAAAGCGTCTGGGAAAAGCCGGCCATCATGGCGTACGAACCGCCACTCGGTTGGGACAAGAAGAAGATGGCGTGGCGTGAAGGTGTCGTGCTCACGCTCCTCACCGACGTCACGCCGCGATACACAACGCAGCTGATCGAGCCCGGGACAAGTGGAGACGACATTGTCGAAGCGGACAAGGCTGCGACGGAGCAAGCACCCGTCAACGACGACGACAACGACAGCGACGCCGAAGCCGAGGCGCTGGATCCGCTCGACGTTCGGCGTCAGTTTGAAGTCAAGCGAGACGATATTGCACGCCGGGAAGCGCTTCTTCGCGGCGACCAACTCGCCCTTGAAACGCTGAGCCAGCAACTTCAAAAAGTTGTGGGGCACCGCCTTCGTACCGAGGCCAAAGCCATTGACGACGAGGCCCAAGCTTACATTGCTGCCGAGCGCAAGAAAATTGCAAAGAAGCAGCGCGAGCTCGCAGCAGCCAAGGCCGAGGCCGACGCCAAGCTCGCGAAAGAGAAGGAGCTCAAGACGGGGCGCAAATCGCCGGCGAAATCACCGGTGGGAAAAGCCGTCGAGTTTGAAGCGCCGCCCGAGCCCGAAGTTATCGCGCCTGTGGACCCGGACCGACCGCGGCTCTGCGCGCCGCAGAGTGCCGTGCCGGTTGTCACGTTTCACAAGGTCGCGGACGCCGCGTACCAGCACATGCTGACGCTTCAGTCCGACATCAAGGCGTTTGTGTTGCGAGAAGACGCGCTGTGGGAGAAGCATGACGCCTTCCGCGAGCGCCTCGAAGCGCTCGTGGTCGACACGACCGAGCGCATTGACAACCTCGAGGCGCGAAAGGCAGAGCTGGAAGAGAGCCTCGCCATAGGTGGTGACGAGCTCGCAGCTTTGCAGCAACCGCTACCGCAGCCATCGCTCGCGCCTGGTATCTATCAAGTTGATACTTGGTGAAATCTTGATTTGTACATGGGCAGAGGACGAGGACGGCCGGTCGCGCTTTGACGTGTACGACGAAGCCATGGCCAAGTGGGATGCCACGGCCGCCACGCGCGCGCAAGAGGCGCAGGAGCTCGAGCACAAGCTGCGCGAGTGGACGCACGAGCTCAAGCACCAGCCAACGCCCTCGATTCGAGACACGCTTGGATTTTACGAGGCGGTCGTCGCAGCTGAGGTCGAGCGCGGCGCGGGTCTCTGGTCCAAGAAGACCGAGTACCTCGTGTGGCGCACCAAGTCGCTCGTGGACCGCACGGCGCGGTAGCGTATCCAGTCGATGCTGTCACGTCACAATAGGGGTAGGGAAGAGCGGCTCCACATGCTGCAAACCGACTTGGCCGATCTTCAGACGCGCCTCGACGCCGCCAAGCGCGTGCCCTTGCAAGCCATGAACGTGCTCGAGAGAGCCAAACTCGAGGCCCTCTCGGACGCCCAGTGCAGCTACTACTGCGCCAAGATCCAAGCGGCGATCGGCGAAATCGAGCGCGAAGAGAAGGGCCTTGTCGACCTCATGGCGTACGAACTGCATGCGCTGCACTTTCACACAATGCGCCTCGAGGAAGAAGCACTACTGCAGAGCGACGCAGAGAGTCTCTGGGACGACGCACAGGCTGAGCGAAAGGTGCTCGACGCGGCCGATCTTGAACAAGCCATGCTCGCCAAAGCGGGCTTGCCGCCGTCGCCTGCCATGTCGTCTGCGCGATTGGTGTTGCTGCGGCAGATGATTGCGCTCAACTACAAACGAGAGGCGCGCTGGCGTGCCCTTGCACGACTCGAGCGCACCGACGACACCATTTGGCTTGAAGCCGACGAGTGGCTGCTCACGCAGCAAGCGCAGCGCTACGAAGCGCGCCTCCGCGACCTGCAGAGCGCCCATGCGGTGGCCATCTTTGGTCTGGAAGAGACGATCGAGAAGCTCCAGGCGGAACTTGCGATGGCGGTGCTGCATCAACGCCAAGTCGAGCACGAGAAGGCTACGGTCCTCGCCATGTTGCAGGATGTAGGGCGTCTCTTCAAGACAAAATTGAGGAGTGTCGATTCCTAGGTGGACCGCGTCGTCGACAAGACGACCGTCGAGACGCTGCGGCTCTTGAAGCTTGAGATTCAGCGACTCGAAGCCGAGATTGTCGCGATCAAGGCCGCGTATGAGGCGCAGATCGAAGACCTTGTTGCTGAGCACTCGACGGCCCGGCAGGTGCACAGCGTTGTTGCCTTGGGCTAGGCGCTACCAGCAAGTAGGCACTGGAAACCAAGCTGGAGGCGACGCTCGCGGATGCAACGCTGCGCATGCAGTGGCTCAAGGCCGTCAAGTGCGAACTGTCCGACCACAAGGTACGACGCCGTCCTCGCAATGGTGCTGGAGTCATCGTAGGTGCTCAACGAACACCTTTTGATTGGCATCGCAGCGCTCGAGAAACGCCGTGCCGCTGAAATCAACGACATGCAAGCGCGCATCGTCAACCAACTGAGCAAGATCCACCGACTGGAAATGTGGAACATGTCACTCAAGCAGTGCATCGAAGCCAGCAACGATCTCATGGTTTGTCAGAATACGTTGTCATGATGGATCTGTCATGGTCCGTAGCTCAAGTACCAGCGCGACCTCGAAGCCAAAGTCCAAGAACACCGAAAAGACCAGCGACATTTGCGGCGTGAGATCTGGCACCAGCGCGTGAGCGTGCAGCTGCTGCTGGCAAATGCACAGCACCTTGTGCGCTTTTTCCTTCAGGGGGTTGCACACCTCTGCGGCCACGCCAACGACGCCCTGCGGGACGCGTCGGTCATTCCCGTACCCCCGTCGTATCCGTGTGCCGAGTATTATCAACTTGATACATAGATTCTTGTCGCGCTGTGCAAGGCACCGAGTGTCGCGGCCGATCTGCGCACGCTCGCGACCGCGTCGCTCGGTAAAATCGCGTGGAACCAGCCCCAGTCCCAGCGCTACGTGGGATGGCGAGCCAAGACGAGTACGTTGTCTATTCGCACCAAACTAGTGGCCATATTGGTCATAGTGTGGCACAACTGGGTGCAAGTGCTCACAAAAGAAGCGTACGTTGTGCTGGAAGAAACCAAATGCGACGACTTTGACGCGTCCATGGACATGGGTTCCGAAGCGATGAACGTAAGTGCAGATCCGCGCGAGCACGAGAAGTACCAGTCGCACCTCGATCGATTGCACGTGTTGCGCGAGGCAAAGCGCTGGCCGCACCACCCGACGCCCCCCGACTGCTGCGTGAACGAGACAAACCTATTGGCCGTCGGCGACACGGACGGCGCGCTCCCCATCTTGCTCGGTCTCTGTGGCCCGGGGCACCCCACGCCTGTTCGCGAGAGCGCACTGGCATCGATTGCGATTTTAGCCCTCCACGCGCGCAACACCCACCTCATGGGACGTACCCCGGGTTTCCTCCAAACGCTGTTGGACTTGAGCAAAACCGCGGCGTCGCCCACTTTGCAAATGCACGCGTTGCATTCGCTCGGCAATCTCGCGTTCAACAACGTGACCAACCAATCGCTCTTGTTGCGCCTCGACGCACTCCCGATGCTACTGCACTGCTGCAAAACGCAGCGCGACGTCGATGTGCTGGACGTGGCGACCGCGGCACTCGCGAGCTTGAGCCAGCGCCACGAAGGCGTCGGCTTTGCCTTGCTCCACAGCGACGGCATCCTGCAGCTTCTCGAACTCGCCCAAGCGCCGTACTTGAGCGACGCGGTCGAAGACAACAAGCTCGATTGCATCCAAGGCAACATTGCCACCGTGCTCGTCCACGTCATGGAGAGCTGCGCCAACGGGTTCCGGTCGCTCTGCGCCAAGGCGCCCGAGACGTACGTGACGCTGTGCCTCCAGCTCTGCGGGTCGCCCTTCACCACGGTGCAGCTCGCGGCCGTCATGGTGCTCGGGCACTTGGCGATGGACGATGCGCTCCGCGCGTGGCTCGGTGATAACGACGCGATCGAGCTTCTCCTGGCCTTTTTACCCGACGAGATACCATCTATTTCAAGCCACCGCAGTGAGCACCAGACCGAGTCGCGCGTGGGCCTCGACGACGACGAACTGCCGCTGCAAGTGAGCTGGGCGCTTATTCAACTGAGCTGGCACCGCGACAACCAAACGCGGCTCGCGCTGCATTTGCCCAAGCTCTACGTCTACGCCACCCAACCGGCTGGCCGCGTCCGCGTCCACGTCCTGACGATTGTCGCCAACGTGTTGTTTTACCACCCCGAGAACCGCGCCGCGGTCCTCGCCGACCCACAGCAGCGATGGATCGACCTCTTTGTTCAGCTCTGCGAGGACTTCGCGGTTGCGCCGCAGCGCGAGGCGAACGCGGGCGCCGTCGAACACGCGGTGCGCGCGCTCACGGGCTTGAGCTACGACGCGCCCTTTGCCAGCGCGTGCGACCACCTCCGCATTTGCATTGCGGTGCTTGCCGCCACCGAAATCGACGCGCCGGTCGTTGCACTCGCGCTGCAGTGGCTCACGAATCTGTGCGTTTTGGACTCGCAGAAGAGCGTCTTTGCCCACTGCGACGGCGCGACCGAGACGGTCGTGCGGCTCTGTGGCGCCAACGACCGGCATGTGCGCGACAAGGCGCAGACCGTGCTGGACCTCGTCGGCGACGCCCGGCCGCGCTGGCGGCAGTAATTTGAAAAATGGTTGCAACGACGACTGTTTTGTGGTCTTGCGATGCATCCTCTCTACCCGGTATCGATCCAACTCGTATCCAACTATCTATCGTTTCCAATCGGATAATCCTGTCCCGCATGAGGCATGGGACACCCCTCGCTCGTAACAAGGGGCGGGAAGCTACGGTCGCCGCGCCTGTTGGATTCGGCAACCTCTGTAGACGCAGTCACACGTGTTGCAGCCGAGGATGTTTATTTGGCGTCCTACGGCTACAAAGGGCTCTCGCCACAGCTGTCGACACCTCCACTTACGCACGATATGATGTGACTTGCGGGGTTCGAACTCGACCCTGCTCTGTTGCATGGTGCGAACGAAGCGACGGACTGCCTTGTGGCGACAGCAGTTATGCCGATGCGCAATGCCTATCCACGCACGGTCGAGCGAAACGTGTCTTGCATCATTGCAGACAAGGTGTGTTGCCTCTCCAGCGTGCAGAAAAGTGAGCCAACTCTAGTCAGTGAAGTCATGGCGGACAGTCTATTTGCATTCATTTCATTCCTAAGGGTGTCCTAATAGGCCAATGTGTGTGTAGTACTCGCGACGGGGGCGAGTGGGTTGTTGATAAATTAGAGGCAGGAGCTATGCCATGCAGCGCTCGTCGTCCAACGGCAGCGGGCGCTGTACCTGTGTCAGTGCGATCCACACAACCGCTGCGGCCTTTGTGAATTGAATGGGCTCCTCGCAGTACTCGCACCGCACGTGGTCGTCTTCGGGCACGGCGCAGAGCACGCTGCGCTGGTGCAATTCCATCTTGGCGTGGTAGAGGTCTTCGGGCGTAAAGGGGACGCGGCGCCCGCCGACGACCGTCACGTTGGTGCGTGCGGCAGGCCACTCGACAAAGCGGTGGCGGATCTGGGCCTTGATGTTCAAATCGACTTCGTCGCTGCTTCCGTCGCGAAACTTGAAGAGCGCCGAGGTTGACCGCAGGAGCCGCTTGGACGACGAGGTGCCGCGGCAGACGCAGTCGCGCATGAGCGACGTTGGCATGATCGCCGACGACTCGCGGAAGCAGCTCGTGAAAAAGCCCATGCTGCAAATTCAAAAATGCAACGCGCCAACGCCAGCGCGCCATCGCTACTCACCATGGTGTCGCGCGTTACTACGACGTGCTAGCGGACTGTGCAACGACGCCTCGAAAGACAGGCGCTCGCCAAAGACCTATTCGAGCGTCTAAGATGTTAGTGCTCGCGTATATATATACATATTCGTGGCCCCTGCGTCAAGGCTAGAGGCGCCAAGCGGCGCCACTCGTAGGCTGCCAACAGTGCGCATGGCGAGCGTTGACGTCCCATTTGATGCACCAATCAAACGCCAACGTTGGATGCATTCCACAATCTTTGACGCATGATTGGTGGAAACAGAGCGATGACGTGGCACGGTGCTGGCAGTGCCGTCCGGATACGTGTGGGCGCTGGAGGTAGAGCGGCGACGATAAGAGCTTCACGACAGCGTCATCGGCTCTTCTACAGTACATGATGTTCTATGCATGCGTAGGAGATGGCACTGTTCCATCGCAGGACGGAGAGTATGTTTGTCGACATTATTGCAACGAAGTCCGTGCTCCGTGGCCGCAGGATTCTATGCCATCGAACTATCCAGTTGTTGTATCCGGCCGTTTGGATAGATGGATAATGGTATATTCACCGAACCATGTATGAATCGTGTTCGTACCAAGCCAATACGGCCCTTGCCGCAGCCAGCGCAGATGACGAGACCCAGAGCCATCCCGGAATGGGACCTTGGTAGAGCACCTTGCCACCCAGCGCAGTGCACTGTGCTCGACATTCGTAGCAGGCAAGGCCCGATTACACATTGTTTTGAGCAGCAACCTGTACACTGTACTCCATGCAGTACAAAGTAGCAACACAGAAGTGAACATGAAAATGATTTAAATAAGATATGGTGTGTGCTTCACAGGTGGGTCTCGACGTTGGGCAGCGACCGGGGGCGGCGCACGAGCGTGAGCGCAATCCAGACGACCGACGCGGTTTTGTTGAAGAGGAGCGCCTCTTCGCAGTGGTCGCAGCGCGCGCGGTCGTCTTCGGGCACAGCGCAGAGGACGTTGCGGTAGAGGGCGTCGGTCTTGGCGTCGTAGATTTCATGCGGCAAGAGCGGCACCTTGCGGCCACCGACGATCGACCTGGACCGGCGCGAGGGCTCGATGAACTTGTGCCGGATGCGAGGCACGCTGGGGGGCGGGAGGACCGCGGAGGCACGTCCGAGCTTGGCCTCGAGCTTAGCGGTCGCCACGTCACAGAGACATTCGTTGAGAGCACGGGGCGCGGGGGCAATGATGGCCGAGGACTCGCGGTAGCAGGCCGTGAAGAGGCCCATGATTGCGGCCGCGCCGAGTGAATTCAAGAATGACTGGCGCCGTGCAGGACGAAGGCGCCGATATAAACTCCGAGTACGCATGTCACGCAATGAGTAATATACCACGTGGTTGTCCACATGGGTTACGCCGCGTTGCAGCGTAGGCCACTGGACTCGCCGCCGCCACAGCGCGCAGGAAGCAGCACGATTACTGTGAGCGAAGATGAGTCCGCCACAAAGCATCTCTGTGGACGCTGCGTCAAACGGTTGCTGCTGGCGCAGCTCGCGTCGCTACGAGTGAGGGACGGTAGAGGCTCGAAGCTCGAGGCGGGCTTGATCTAGAAGGGGACCAATCGTCGCGCAGAGATGTGGGCCCAACAGTGGGATCTTGTGACGTGGCGGGCCTCGTACCGAGCAATAAGGAGCGTCCCAGATCTTTGCCTCCATTTGCGGCACCAGCAGGCGAGACCGTAGCGCTGCTTGTGTGGCGCTGAGTGCAGGTCCCGTCAACAGGAGGTTCAACGGATTCAGGCAGTCTACGAGTCCTGTTCGTCGAACAACCGCCTCTCTTTTTTGTATGGCGAGTGCTTCCCATAGTGTCGGCGAGATGCTATTGTGTGGATGGCAACCTTCCTTGTGAGGCAGAGAGTGCGCGAGCGCTCACATGTATAATACTTGCTTGCGCTGCCTCGAGACTGCCTCTTTTCGCCCACTGGCGTCTCGCACGACAAGCTGTGTGGTTTGTACACTGTTCGGAAGTATATAACATTGGATCGACTCTGCCAAGAGCAACCAACGACGGTTCGCTTTCTCATTCATGCGTGTCGAGACTGTCCTGCACAAGCCGCTGCGAAGGAAAGCGTCGTGACCATTCGCATTTTTGTGGGTGGTTTGGTACTCCAACGCGGGCCGTGGGTCCAGATCAAAGCGCGTCGAGATGTACGTAGTTGCAGCGGAAACACTTTCAGACCGAGTTGTAGACTGGTGTAGAGACAGCATTGGCTAAAAGCAGGGCTGGACCAAAAGGGCGATCATTGCACACGAATATCGGAGGACGGGCTTTGGCCGGTACGAAACGTGCAGACAACAAAAGACACATGGGCGACACAAGGTGCAAGTGCTTAGAACGACACTCGGACCGGAAGCGAGCTGCAGCTGGGAAAACTTGGTGGAAATGACGTCTTGTACGTGTGCCTCGCCGCTGTTGGCTGGCGAACATGCTTTTCGCAGTGGAGACGCCTTCCACGTGTACGGTAGGTGCCACTAGTACCTGTCAACAAGGGTATATAAGAGCACCGTACTGGGCACGTTCGTGCTCACTTTGATTGTGCTCCTGGGCAGAATAACCTGCGTCGATAGCACACTGACCGAGACGACGTTGACTCGGTTAGCATCTCGGTGGCCGCTGGAAAGATAAAGCCTACTACTAGTATTGTAAAAGCAGAACGTTGTACCATCGTACATTAGTTGACAATGAGTCGACTACGCAGCACCAAAGGTCTGAGATGCACGATCGGTCGTCTCCTGGATTTATTGGACTTGCTTTACACAGAGTAAGGCTCGTAGAGATGGCGTGAGACGCCGAACGAGTTGTCGTCGTCTCTCCACTACTAGTGCAGCACACCGTAAGGAGCAAACGAGCGTCTTGTCGTAGTTCTAGTCCACCAGCAATTTTCATCGCACGTTGGATTCATTTGCCAGTTTCACGGCGCGTCAGGTTTCCCGGCGCGTCAGACCGCGCATGGCTTCACATTTCGTCTCGGCTTCTTTCGTACGGGCTATAAATCCGCTGCAGAGGCAATTGCTTGGTGGGCAATACTCTCATTCCCATAGATTACTTGTGTTTTTCACTGGATTCAGAGGAACACGCTGGTCCTGGAAGTGCCCAATTCGATGATGCGCCGCGCCATTTACCCTCAAACGGCACTAGATTTTGGATTTTTGTTGCATGACACGCCATGTGTCGCGACAACAAGTTCTTCTTCCTGCAGGGTGGTCGCCGATGTCCTACACTGTTCCTGTCCTACGCCAGTAAAACCCTGCCAACGCAAGCCAACAAGGGACATCAAGGGCTTGGTGATCTCGGTCCACGATGGCACTGTGGCCCATCTGCTCGAGATGAAACGCACCATCTGTCGATGGCTTCTGTACGTACGCTTGTACAGTACATTGTTTGTTCTACATACAATATAATTGGACGTACAGAATGTACGGCGGGTACATTGCCGTATGGTCGTCCTGGAAACAATCTCGGAGCATCACCGTTGACGTGTCTGAGGCTAGATTTGGTATGCATTCCGACGGCTTAGCGGTCCACGCCAGCTTGGTATACCTGTGCTATCGATCTACTAGGCAGCTCTTGTAGTTAGTCGCCGAGAACATACCCACGAGCTTCGTTCAAGGATGCGCTACGCAGTTGCAATGCCGACGATTCCAGCGGTGGTGGTCATCCAACACGCACCCGTGTCCGTGGCCGGTGCGAAACAACTCATCCCACTTTGTCTACCACAGTCGCAGGTAGAAAGTGCAGGCGCCGATTCGAGGTCCGCTGACGCACGCTGTCATTTTTCGATTTTCTCAACCAGACAAA